TTGGCTCTTCACTACCATATGCGTTATCCATCTCTTGTGACGAAATCTCGAACAATTTACTCGATAGCGATAATTTGGTTATTGATATTACTTCTTTCGGCAATTTACTATTTAAATCCTTTTGTTTATTTCCTCCTCGTAGCTCTTGGCGTGGGCATTTTTTTATTGATATCAATTCTCGCCTACATTGGGATCTACAGAATCGTCAAACGTCAAAAACTACAGATCAATACTCTACAGCAAGCGGTGCAAGCTTCAACAACAGAAAATCTTTCCAACTTTAAACAGTTGAAGACCAGTGCGCTAAATTCGTTTGTGTTCTTTATTGTTATGGTTGTGTTTTATATGCCAATGTCCATCGCTATGACCTTGTATCTCGTAACTGATAATTGGAATAGTGCTTGGGGTTTCGCAACAACTGCAGTTTTCATGAATTCGTCCATTAACCCGGTTTTGTACTGTTGGAGAATTGGCACGTTACGCAAAGCAGTGACAAAAACAGTGGAGAGAATATTGCTTAAACAGACATGAAACGGAAGAATGAATACAGTTCGATCCTCACCACAATTAATTAACTAAGTCACGATACATAAAACTAATTGAATATGAATAGAATAAAGCAGTTAAATCATTTATAATTTACCATGGAAAACAAAGATCAGAGTTAATAATGAATCGCACAGAACGAGAATGCTCGAGAACAGAGAAGAATTTGAAAATATTTGCGTCACTTTATTTTTCGAGATGCACCATCCATGACGTATTTTCTTTCATATTGATCGCAAACATTTTTCAGAAAAACAATATTTTATAGAAATAAGCCAACTTAAAAGAGGTTTCTATGATTGTATGGTATTATCTATGATTTGATGTTTGGCCTTCATTCTGTTGAAGTTGAAATGGTATTGATGTAGTTTCGTTCTGAGTTCTGTGTGTATTTCCGAGTATGGTGTTCAGGAGTTATCTGTGCATAGAGAGACCACATAAATTGTGCGAACTGTATGTGTTGAATCTTTTAAAGTATAGCATCCATTACCAAGCCTTTCAGCTCACCGAAGTTTGCTTTTTCTCAGTCACAATAGCGACATATTTCCGGAAACAGTACTTAGTTCATTTCATGGTAAATATCAATCGCAATACATCACTATAATATTGCGCTTTTCAATATTTCTGTGCAAACCCCTCCTCCGGTGATCAGTGTAAAATATAAATAATTGGTAAAAATATAAAAAAAAACGTCTTTGACATTTATGCTTTGACAATATCAAACGCGATTTTTTTCAATAAATTTTCAACCAAACATGTACGTGCATCTAATTACTAATTAATTCAATAATTAACACAGCTATTTTCAGGGAAATGTGTGTATACATTCATTGCAATAAAGGTTAGATAAAATATATTACTCACATCGAGACCACGAGTCTGCGATATTTTCATGGCTGAGTTTTATGAATGATTTCTGGTCGAATAGAAACACACTTACACCACCAGACAAAACACTGAATTTCTCATACACCCAGTCACGTTGCAGCAATTTTAAAATTAAAGAAAGGTCGATGCATGCGTTACATTGGTTCTTCATAAAGTGAGACAAAGAACAAAGAGAACAGATTTATATCCCATATGACAATTTGAACCCAAAAACCTCAGGTATCTGTGGAATCCGCTAAAATAGCCTGGCCCTTTAACCCCTAACAGCGATGGACATCCAACCCCCCTAGCAACATCACCCTTGAATCAAACTTTATGGTCATGGAAAAAAACGATCGCACACCCGATAAGTTCTTGATTTTTAGAAAAAATTCTCATGGTAAGTATTCCTAGAGATGTATAGAGAACATTGTTGAGAACTTACATCATGATTTTAGAGTGCAAAGGGTCAATCGCTGATCTCCTCGAAAAATGTTGTTTTAAACTGCATATTCTTCATATTCTTCTTCGACGAGAAAGATATTGGGATTCGAAATTTTTTTGCTGATGAACCCAGAGGATGAGGGGGCAGAATTCTTTTATCGTTTTCGTTAACACTTCTCATCACCCACGCAGGACACGCGAACAAGACGTATTCAAAGTCAAACGCCAAACCGTGTTGCTATACTTGACTTTTTGTTTTATTTTCTCTTGGTTTTTTGTTTTGCGTTTTGTTTTCTCTTTTTACTAAAAATTCTCGCATTGAAAATGAAATTATAACATCATCCATTTATCGATTAATTTGGTGCAATTAGGTGCAAATATGCAATTCATCAATTTCGAATGTAAATGATCAAGCTGTCAGTTTCGAAATTTCGGGAAAGTTTCGCCTTCGCTCAGGTGCGCGGCCGGTTATTTTGAAATTTCATTCACAAAATGGCTTCGAGGTGCAAAGACGGTACAGTCACTGGTGACCTTCTCGATGAGCTGCCAAATTTTCACAACAATACTTTTTCCGAGCTTGAAGAACATTCAGGAAGATTTTTTGTGACAGACATTTTGCGATAGGTTACCACTTTAATTGCACTGTTTTGCTGTTTCGAAAATTAAGTTGTCTTTTATGTAGGAATTTCATCAGTATCCATAAAATAAACAGAACATTACATGGCCGCATGGGGATACGAATTTTATCTTCGCTCACTGGTGAGAAATGCTTTCAGCACGGGAAGATAAAATTCGTATCCCCGCGCAGCCATGTAATATCCTCTATGTATCATGCTAAATTATTCGTGAACGTATGCGAGACATTAAAGAAGAGGTTTATAGGTTAAGTCCCCGGAAGATTAGCCGACAATATTATTTGATTTAGTTTATAACTGCAAGGAATAAACGGTCGACAAACAAATGGAAATTCACATGACGTAAAGTTTTCGGAAAACCGCGTTGCCTACATGCACCTTACTGCCAATTAAGAGGCGAATGTAAGAGCGGTCCAGGGCATTTCGCATCGGAAAAAAGTTTTCCCTCAAACTTTTCTCAATAACCATCTTTGGTTACAAGTAAATAAAACCACATTAAAAAGGCCCTTTTTTGACCTCTTGCGACATCGAAAATTTCAAAAGTTGAATAGCTCGGTCCCCGTATCACACCGCATGCAGCAAAAAATATTTTGTATTCTTAAAGTGTGTGATATATATGGTGTATAAAATGCATTTCAATTTTGATATTCGTTTATTCAGAGGCTCGTCATAATTTATTTAAAAACACTCGTTGGAAAGCTTTCTGAAATTGGTTAAAAGTACTCTTTCTTGGTTGATATTGCTCAAGTCCAGAACAGACCATTAAAAACTCCGCTTGATTTCTGCTAATAAGATGTTTGGCTGCAGAAAAATATAAAAACATCTTGCACTTATTGATTTTCTTCGCCGAGGTGACTTCGAACTTTTAGCGTTATTGCTAGCGTGACAGCCGATTATGCAAATTAGTTCATTGAGCAAACTCCGACCGTTTTATGTGAGTAGCTGAATAAATCTTAGCTTTTGACCATTATAAAAAACTTGAAAAATGCTGATTAAAATAGCAGTGCTACTTCCAGTAAAAGTGAAAAAATTATGCGCTTTTTTTTTCAAAATATTTCAAACATTATGCCAGCACAATCTACGAGGGTCTACTCATTTCTTGCTGAGTTTGTGTCCTCTCACTTCCAAATTCGTTCCTACGTGCCTTATTTCGTTCGTTATGATTAATTTGTATCTTTGATATCTCTCATCGTGAATTCGCTCTAATACAGCCGTTTAGTTTCCATAACGATTAATTTTTTCACAAACTATGTTCCACTTTCTTTGTTAACACCACGAATATGCGTTTGCCTTTGCGCAAGTTGATTTCGCTGCAGGGTCCTTCCAAAATTTGCTCTATCTTTTTCCGTCATTCATGGTTCACTCTCTTTATTCATTTTATGCCTAATCCTCTTTTGGAAAATAGTGCATCTTAGTTTTAATTTAACGCAGTCAAAATCTTCTTTAAAAATTCCTCTTCACACTCTCGCTATAAGTGGTTGCTCTTGTTCACAATTTTTACCTTCATCTCCAGCGCTGAATTTGTAATGAACAGACTTCTTTGATTCAATGGAAAAGGAAGAACTTCCAGCGTCTCTGTTTATCACGACGGATATTTGTAATGTAACTATCCCTCTGTGGTTGTTTCTTTGAAAATGAAGTCTTAATATTTCTTACAATTTTTATTTTGTTAACCTACAGAAAATATTATCAATTTCATCTTGTCAGTGAACAAAGAAAGTGTGAAAATCATGTTTGTATGAGTGGAGCATCCTCATTAAAGATCATACATTGAATTTTAAAGAATATGACATAGTCAAAAGGGCAAGTAAATGGAAGTGATGTAGCCTTTCAACAAGATCCGGAATAGTTTCTCAGTCTGATTTATTTTTTACACTTTTGCGTGACCTTACCAGTGATCCGATCCGTAGTCCAGTATTTCTTAGTCCTATCCAATATAATTTTGTCGACGCGGCTTTGAATAGTACCTAGTGGGAGGCGCAAAGTCAAAACCGAGAAGTTAAAATAGAGGATAGGTAAGATGTGAGTAAGCTCCATTAAAATTTAAGGATTAATTTATACTGAGTGTTTTACATTTTCTGTATCTCCCGCGGTACGCGATAATCTTATTTTCCCTCGTTTGTGTCGTTCCTAACCCTACAGGTGGCAAACCCAAACCGACGCTCCGCACGGGCTGAAAACAAGTAACGTACAAACGAGGCACTATTTATTCACGAGGATGTTATGGCCAACTCGCAGGCGATCTGGCAAGTTGTTGCTTGTTTCTGCAACGATAGTGTGCATTCTCATAACGTTCCTAAATTATAATGTCCTCAAGGAACTGCCCATGAACTCAGACCCGCAAGGAGGATCAATTGTTGCAGGTTGGTAAGGCATTGCGATGTTGTATCTGGCCCTTAATCACCTAAGCACGTTGACTATCCATTCATTCTGAGTCCGTAAACACGTGCGATTTCATTTTTTCACCAGGAAAGGTATGTTTGCTTTCATTTACCGCGTAAATAAAGGGAAGTGAGGTCGTTTGATAGGCGCTCAAGGGTTGAAACGCTCAAGGCTTGCAACGCTCAGGGCAATTTGTTTGTTCGTACACATACCTTCGTAACGGCTACTGATCGCGTCTAGGAGATAATTTAAAACCTAGCCTATTGACCGCCAGAGAACGTGCATGTTGACCACTGATGGCAACATCGAACCGATCTTCCGCACGGATTTAAAACAATTGACGTACGAATGAGGTATTATTCATCCTCGGGGATGTTGTGGCCGACTCGAAGGCGATATGGCAGGTTGTTGTTCGTTTTCGCGACGATAGTGTGCATCTCATTTCGTTCCTGAATTACAGTGGCCTCAATGAAATGCCTATGAACTCACACCCGCAAAGAGGATCGATTGTTGCAGGTTGGTAAGCGTGACGAGGTTGCGTTCCTTGTCCTTACTCTCTCGTGCATGTTGCTTATCCATGCGTTTAATACGAGTGCGTGAACACGAGCGATTTCGTTGCTTTACGAGGAAAAGTCTGTTTGCTTCCATTTACCGCGTAAATTTAGGGCTGAAACTAGACGAAAACAACGCCGCCGGCTTGCAACGCTCCATTTAATGTGTTTGTTCATGAATGTACGTACTTCATGAACGACTAAAGATCGCGTTAAATTGTGCTCTTATCATTCTTGGAGATAAGACCTATTTACCGCCAGAGAACGGGCACAACCTCTTTATCAAACTATCGTACTCGATAATTTTACCTTTATTTTACTAAATTTATTTGTCAGATTAGCTGAAGCGAAAACAACCTTTCCACCGGCCCGCGCGTTGTAGTCTTAAGATCTGTTGAGCTTAATTTTTTACAAATTAATAAATCTGTTTTTTGATTGAAAGAAGCAGAAATATAAGAATAAACCTCACACAGATTGAACGAAAGACAGCTGGCCTCTGTGCTTTCCTGTTATTATCTTAATACTCCGGCACTAATTTATGCACGCTTGCAAAACTGAAACGAATAGTAACGAACAATGTCATAAACGCGGAGTGATTATTTGATGTGCTGGTTAACTTATAGTAAACTTATTGAGCTCTATACCATGGTTGCGTCTGTTTAAGTCTTTGAGAGTAGGATATTGTGGCAGGGCCCTCTAAATCTCCTATGAGGGATGCCTGTTTCAAGTTCAACGTGGTTGACAGCTACGAAGCAAGTATTAGTCTCATATACATGTAAATAGTTTAACACAATGTTGACTTAGCAACTGGGAAGCTCTTCTGGAAAAATGTACCCTAAGGCCACGTTATCTTGGAGTGGGACAAACAAATTAAAAAGGAAATTTATTGATATTTGACCACCAAAGTATTATGACCGATTGACAGTATAAGTTTAAAGATGAGATTTAAATATAACTCGACGCACATCTGCGTGTACTCGGGCTTTTCGTTTTCGATGAAACTTGATTGTTATGTTTAAATATGGATTATGTCCGTTGCCTAATGATGATGACAAAACTACGACAACTGTGTCACTTGATATGCAGCTGTGAAAGTGTATTACAGCCACGCGACATGATCGAATAGTCGTCTGGGAATTTGCATATTTTTCCCAGTGCGTGAAATAAATGCTTTTTCTCTCAATCATTTTACGCGGATTTTCTTTTAACGTCGCATAGTTTGAGTTGAGAATTTTTCAAAAATTCAGTTTAGCTTTCAAATTACTCTGTTTCCACATGTCTTTACTTCAGAAGAATAAAAATGAATGAAAAGACGTTTCTATGTCATTTTCGGTTATTTACATCTAGGGATAGTTCAAGCACCCTAGGTAACCTAGTCCCTTTTATGAACAATAAAATGTATTGTATTGAATTATTTCACACCCCAGCAAAATTATAATCTTGCACTTTATAATTTGAAACTTTTGTATTTCAACTTTTGTTTATTACCAGCAGAATGAATCAAACCAATTGGTACAATTTGATCTGACTTCCGTAACAATAGGAAAAGTAATTTTAACTAATTCTTAAATTTTAAACTGGACTCCAGCGTAACATTAGAAGAACAAAACAAGATCTTATGTGTATATACCTGAAACAGGTGTTTTCGTCAATAGACATATTACATCTGCAAACATCTTAAAAAAATGTATTAAAAAGTAAAGTGTCAGTGTCATATGATAGCAAAGACCTCAAGAAATAGTAATTATTGTGCCAAAGTGTTGTCATCAATAGATTTTAAATCTGCACACAACTAATTCGCAAACACAACATATCAAAATCTTATTTCTTAATGTATCTGAAACAAATAAAGTGTCAGTGTCAGATGTGAAAAGTATATACTGTATTGCTTGAATGGTTTGCTGGTGGAGAGTTTGTTACAAAGGTAGTAACAAACTCAGCGATGTGCAGAGTGCTGAGCGACTGCTCGAATGCCCTACTCCAAGCATAAATTTTAAAGCCCAGATGGGGATTTGTGACTGAATGAGGAGAAAAAAAAGACCTGGAATGGGTGTTTCCTTTGGAGTAATGATTGATGAATACCTAGGTGCCACATTGATAGGGGGTATTGCAAAGAAAGAGGCATGACGATGGCTTTGAATGAAAAAAAAAAAGGAGGAAGGGTTGTAGTGGGTTGCTTAGAATATGTTTTAACAGATATTATCTTTATCACATCATCATCTGTTCTTGTTGTCATAGCTGCACTATTAGGTCATCACAGTCAATAGTACAGTCTGTTCTAAGCCGAGTTACTCTCCTTTTGCACTGTCTACCTCCCTCCCTCCCTGTTTTATTCTCTGGTGTCCACTTTGTGCTGCATAGCAATTATAGCGTTGGTTCATTATAATTTATGCTATCTTAACCTTTTAACTCCTAACAGTGACTGGCTTCCAATTTCTTCTTACATTAGCACCCTTGAATCAAATGAATAGGTCATTGCTATAAAGGAAATGATGACCAATTTAAGAATTTCCTGATTGTTAAACAAATTCTCCCTGTCAGTACCATGAAGAGTGCACTGTGGAGAATGTGAGTGCCAATGTCTTAGGGTGTAAAGGGTTAACCCTTTAACTCCCAGAACAATTTTCATTGTCAGTGCCAAAGGAAATGTTTATAGAGGAGTGAAGAGAATACACATGCTGATCTTAGGGTATAAAAGGTTGAACAGATGTTAATCTTGGTTCTCCTTGCCCCCTTTATGCCCTCTTTTGCAGAGCTCAGTTCAGTCCAGTCCAGTTCAGTCCAGTACATAAAGCTTACCTTTGTCAATACAGTAATCTGATAATACCCAAGTTGTGATCAGTCACCCACAACCTTGCAGCCTGCAGAACAGGCATGATTTTGAGTTCATACCTATGGTTTTGATAATTTTTATTACAATAATTATGATACTAATGATAATAATGATTATAGTTTAAAAGTAATAACATTTTTTTTTTGTTCAATCTTGTACAAAATGTTTTCATCATTATACTTATTTTGCTTTAATTATTTATTGTTGCATATGATTCAAACAATGAAGATGTCATTCAGAGAGTAGAAACGCTTGAACACCATGTTGAGAATTCAGGTGCTTTAAATTTTAGACCTATAATGATAAGAATAATTTGCATAATAACTTTTTGCTCAGTGGACCTTTTGCTTGTTATTCCATAGTGTTATCAAGCAGTGACTAGCAAGCATTTAGTTAAATCAGTCAGTTAATGAGTCAGTCTGTCCGCAACTGCCCAGTCAGTGATTTGGTCAGTCAGTGATTTGGTCAGTCAGTTTAGTCACTCAGTCTGATAAGTTAATCAGTTAATTGGTAAGTGAGTCAGTCTATCAGGCATTTAAGTCAGTTAGACATCTGAGTCAGTCAGTCTAAGTTAATCACTGAGTCAATAAGTTAACCAGTCAGTCAGTTACATTATAGCATCATAATAGTGTCAGTCACTGTCTGTCATGCAGTGATTAAGTTATTTGTTCAGTCAGTCTGTTCAGTTGTCATTCTAAAAGTTGTTCAGTCTAAACCAGAATACTAGACAGTCGGTTACTCTGGCAGTCAGTGACATTTAGTCAGTCTGATACATGCATGTTGATAATGATTTTGTCAGTCCTGAGATAAATCATTTTGATTTAGTGATACACTATTATAATATATAAGTTACAACACTGTTTTAGATTTACAGGTACTGCAGTTGTTATAGAAGCTATTCATGACATGTTCCTCTGATTTGTTGTTGTTCCCATTCTTTCATTTTCTTTAACTCAGAAAAGCCCAGCAAAGAAGAATGCCAGGTTCCACATGACTGGTTGTTCCCATTTTGTGAATCAAAGATTCAAGTAAGATATTTAACAGAACTTACATTTAGTACATACTTCCTAATGTTGGTCATGTACATGTAGGACTGACTAATGGTATATAAAATGTTTCTTTTCGGGTTTTTACCTGTTACACAACCAGGACTTTAAGAGTGGTTGTCTCCCAGATATAGTTGGAAACTTAATAACAACCCACTGACAGATAGAAAGCTACACGTTGGTCACATGGTACATTTATGGGGGTTTTAATCTATTCCTTAGATGAATTTGACAACAGTTAACTTATAATGAAGTAAATTTTGTCTTTGCTCCAATTCTGCATCTGCTAAAATTGCATTCAAGGATCATTTCTTTTCTTGATTTTTTGTGAAATTTATTGCAAGTTAAATGACAAGCTTGTTTTGTCCAATTGTTTGTTTTAATTTTTTTAATTTCGCACAATCCCAAATAGAACACAAATGTATCTTTTTTTCAAGGGTCTTTGTTGCAGTTCCTAAGAATTTTTTATCTGCTATTTGCATGTTGTGTATTAAAAATCTTTACATTAATTATAATTATGTATTAACACTTTACTGACATTATAAAAAATGTGACTATCATTAACTCACTGCCTCAATCAACTTCTCAGTACATACAGCAACTTTGGGGAACAAATGCAGAATGCTATGTTAATAGACACAAACTGAAGCCAGAGAACCTTTGCTCTGCCATTATTTACCTTAGTGAGGTATGTTCTTAGTTTAAATTTCTGTTTAACCTCAAGTGTGCAGTTTTCTAAATGCACACTGTGTTGTACACCTTTTCCTTATTCACCTTCTGTTCTACTGTCTACTGCACTAATGCACATTGGTATTGCAATTTCCGTCACAGGTTGAAAGATTTTGTCCATTGCTGCCATGGCGGCGGAGAAACAGTACAAGCACCAAAGAACCCAAGGTTAGAGTACAGAGAAGAATAATTCCATATCTACAAGCAACCATGTATTATTTTGTTTATCGTATAAACACAATAGCTTTTCGCTGACACGAAAAATCGACTTTATTAACGAATGAAAATAAAGGGATCGACAGTCCTAAATAAAAATTGCAAAGAGCGTTGGCGCTAAGATTCAACATGAAAAATTTCGTTGAATCACTTCGAGAACAACAATGGAAGTAATTTTCCTTATAAAAAATTCTCAGTTATTGACTTTGCCTTTACCAACAGAAGAAATCTTCCAAGTACACAGCCAACAGCGGCCCGTGCCTTAAATCTTCCAGATGTCGATTTTCGTTCTTAGCCGCAAGGACTGCCATTACAAAAGCCACTGAATACGTTTTTCTTTTCGAATTTTGATTATTATTTCTCTTCTAGGAAGTTTTAAACGTTACGTTCGGTAATTATAAGCGATACGGATTATTTAGTGTTGTAGCAGCCATAATTTGAGAAAATTCCGACAAACGACCCTAGTTTCATCAACCTGAACGAGTGGCGCGAAAGGTGAATGACGTGTCAGCAGCTGATTGGCGATATAAAACACACGTGGACAAATAGCGTATTTTGTCAGCTGTGTTGTTACGGCTTTTGTCAGGCCTGAAAGTCTTGTAGAACACAGTAGTTTACACGATAAAATTCATTTATAATATAACCTACAGTGTTCTACAAGGATTTCCAGCCCTGAGAAAAGCCGTAAGAACGCACGTGAAAAAATACGATATTTTTTCATGTGTGTTTGATATCAGTTGCTGAAACTTGAATCGCTTTTCGCGCCACTCGTTCAGGTTGAATGAACGGCAAAGCCTTCACCATTCTCATTACAAGGTAGATTGTCGAAACTTTCTCTGATTATGGCGGCTAAAACACTAGAAAACCCTTATCGCTCACAGACAGTGACGTTCAAACCTTCTTAGAAGGGGAAGAAAACCAACCCACAAAAAGAAAAACCGAAAGTTACGTACTCAGTGGCTTTGGTTATGGCATTTCTCGCGGCTGAGAATGAAAATCGACAACTGGAAGACTTTCCCCTCGCCGATTTTAGCCGTGTACCTGAAAGACTTCTTCTGTCAGTGAGGACAAACTCTATGAATGATAATTTTGTGAATTGGAAATTACGTCCATTGTTGTTTTTATAATCATGATTCAACGCGTTTTTCCATCCTAAGAGTTAGCGCCAACGCACTTTACGATTGTTATTAGGGGATTGTCGATTCATTTATTTTCATTCATTAATAAAGTTGGCTTTTCTCGTCAGTAAAGGCTATTGTGTTTACATGATAAACAAAATCGCGTTTATATGATAAAGTCGTATTCAACTCGACATCTTTCTCGTTCGCTGCGCTTACTCGTGAGCTATCGAGTTCAACCATCGAAGAGAAATTTCATATCTACTCGCGCCCATGTATCATTCTCTATTCACAAACTAAGATGTTCTTCAGTTGTCACAATTAGGTTTGATATGTGCTTCAAGCACATATGCGTAGTCAATTTTTTCAAATACGCACAAGTACATATGATCTAGAAATGTTTCACAAGTGGCCATAGGTTACCCTCCGGCACCTCATCAGGTTGTTTTCTGTTGTGGAACTCTCTTGTAATCCTGGTTTGAGCGAGGTACTGTTAGAGAATGCAACCAAATAACCTTAGCCCAAACACAGGTCTTTCTGATTCAGAATGTCTGAACCACAAACAAGTCCTCGATGCAAGCGGAGTATCCGCAGAGAAACAAAACACCTTTCAGTCCGCCATCTTTATTGCTCGCTCGCCTACAATGCATTAAGACTGCGCTTGCTAAGGCAGCACAGTTACAGTCACTACAGAAAACGCCTGGTCATATGAACCATAATTTCATCGAGTAAGGCGCAGAAAATAGCCAAATTTGATTATTGCTACGGAAACCAGGAGTCTCCCTGAATAATGGGCCATTTGCCTCAGCTATAGACTAACATGTGCCTTACTATAACAATGGTTACTGCAAAACATATCCAATAAAATGAAGGGAAAAGAAAGTCACGAATAGGGAGTAAGGGAAACAAATTTGAGCCTAGCTTGAAGATGGGAACCACAGACCTTCCATATCAAACATCAACTGTGGTCAAGAGTATTGCCGTCGATGAACTTGACTATACACTTAAATAGACGGGTTGCCGAGGGTCAAAGTACTGTCTTCTGTTAGCTTGCAGAAATGAGATTTGAGTTAGATCAAGCATTCATAGACACCCTAAATAAATTGAATTTGCGGTGGATGCGTGACCGTATCACAAGAATGTGGCCTCAATGGGTGGCAGCAGCCAAACAGTTCACAGCAGAGGGATCACTACGCAGGAAACATCACGTCAAAAAGGTAGTCATTTCTTGAGAGTTGAGTATCAAGATTCTAGTTTTGGGACACTCGAAGAACCTTGATCTGCATTTTCAAGGAAACGATTTCATTCTCCAACGCGAAACAATAGCAAGGGACAAGTTGACTAAGACACTGTTTTAACTCTTTCCATAGATTTTTATTTTCTTCGGCACGTATGCTTATCAACCCATGTGGCTGGATATGGCTTTCACCGGTGCACCTCTGGGAGAGATGGTGCAGTGGAGCGATCTGATAGCGGCGTTGTACATATTGGGACATGACGTGACACTCTCCGTGAACTCCACTACGTACCAGAGGTAAGTTTGAGTGGAGCAATTTCAGTGCAATTTAAAGCAGTTAGGAATTGAGTGTCAAGTTTCCTTTTGCTTCGTTTCGCTTCAAACGCAAATCTAAAACTGATCGTGACTTTGTCACTTTCATTTTCCCGCGCTTCAGGCTGTTTGCTTCTATTGCTTACTTCAAGTCTTGTGTCCTTTTTCTACACTCTGATTGGTTCAGAGTTGTGATTACATGTACGTTCTTTGGAATTGGTTTTGTGACATATGATCGAAAAGCGTTGTAAAACATACTTCAAAATTTGATGGGTCGTGTCTTTTTATTCCGCTATTGGTAAAGAATAATTACGCAATCTTCTTAACCCATCAAATTTAAGACTAAGGCAGTAATGATTAAATTGCCACTTTCTCACGTGCGTTAACCCCTTAGAGCAATTTTCAATTGAAAGTAATCCGGCATCGCTTTAGTTTTAATTTACACTGCTTCGTGATTGGTCCAGAAGACTCTCCCGCCATCTTCTCAACCAATCATATGCATAAATTCAAACAATCGCGACTTTGTCATTCACATTTTCTCGTACCTCAAGGAGTTTGCTTTTTTCCACTTTCATTCCTCGTTGGCTACTGATGATTTTGATCTTTTTTCTGAGATAAATTTGGTTTTGCCTTTTCGACACTCAATTCAAAATTTCTCTGTCGTGTTTTATATACTTTTTTCTCGTGTTAAACTTGCCTTCTCATTGGTTACTTGTGATATATACGTCAGGGCCAGTTGTTCAAAGGCCGATTAGTGCTAGAATAGGGTTAAATTTTAATGCAGGTTTCTATATTTCTTTTTTCCAAAGCCTTTTAGAGAAAATTTTCCCTATTTTTTTCAGAAAATTCAATGATCAAATTGCAAGCAAAAAGATTTGAAGTGAATTTTCTTTTAAAGCTTTCAGACCTGAAATCAAATTTCATGCTAACCCTGGGTTATCTTAACCCAGATTTGAACAACCTGGGCCTGGTTATTATCCACAACGATTGTGTTGATGTTGGAGCATTTGAAGATGTGTCCATGCCGAATTATATTAACAGTAGCCTCTATTTAGCGCCAAAATATGCGCAGATATTTGTCCGCGGACAATATTCGAGAGCGAAGCTTGAGGAAAACTTTGAGCTTTAAGGAAAAGTTATGTCCAAGGATAAATATACGTGCATGTTTTCGCGCTAAATAGAGGCTGTTTTTATTTGTCATTCTTTAAATATTTGCAGCGCGCGAGAAAAAAATTATACGAACAGCTTACTGTTTGCTTCTTTTGAGTGTTTCCTGGTACGACTTCTATGGTTTCCTTCCTGTGTAGCAATCATAAAACGCTCTCTTATCTTGAATTATATTTTAACCCTTTAACTCTCAGAAGTGATTAACATGGAACTTGTCCTTCTAATATCCATACATTATCCTGCAAACAGGTATTGAGAAAACCCCAACTAATCAGGTAAAAGTTGTTATTATGATCTAACACTAAATTCTCATAACTGATTTACAAGGAAATGTGTAGCAGCTAGAAGGGAGAATTAACAATCAGATCTTGGGAGTTAGGGTTAAAATGTAGTTTTATCGCAGTGGGCGTAAGGTTTGCCTTTAGTTAGGGTCAGGGTTGTTCATCGTGAATATTCTTGGATATCCCGTAGTTATAGCTGGGGAATATTCGGTAACGAGATGCGTTTAGACCAATCGAGCGCCATAAAAGATATTTTATGGATTATGACAATTTATATAAGTGATATCCTGTGCTTGTTTACTTGACAATTTGTACGTTTCTTTTTAAGTTATATGTCACCTCCAAAGTCACCTGGTTGTTCTGATGTATTTGAGCCTGAGTTTGACCTGATTTACACAGACTACAATGGGTTTACCTACATGCTGATGCACATTACTCCAAATTTGTCGCCTTATATGTGAG